TGAACCAAAATTTGATTAATACTGGATCCATACCTACATCATCTTTGATCTTCCAGTTGTTCCTTGCTGCACAGCAGCCTAACGCAGCATGACTTTTGGCAATTCTCATTTTATCCCTACCCTTCCTGACCTCTAAGACATTGCTTTTTTGCCAATTAGTCTTTTTTTCCATTCCTTACAGACTCTATTTAATCCCAACTATCCTTTTTAAGGTGGCTGTTCACCAGCTTTCAGCAAGGAGACTTTCCTGGCCTGTTTTCCTCCTCTGTTTAGGACCCCTGGTCCAGATAGTTTCTGCACCTCTGAATTAGAGGCTCTGTATCCTCTGCATTCTGCATTCACGATTCTCTGCCCAGATGACTTCACCCACCAGGTTTTTTCATTTTTCAAAGTTTGCCCTTTCAAAGACAAGCATCCTAGCTCCAGATCTACTTTTGTTTAGGTTTATTTAATTTAAAAGGAATCCATTTTATGAACACTAGGTCCAAGATTCCTCTGTACAATCAGGCCCCCTTAACATCAACATTAGTTACCAAAACAAAACCTAAAATAGCACCTCCATTTGCTGGTGCTCTATTTAATGAGAAAAATCTGGGCTACCACATCCAGGCATATCTGTGTTTTACCTTATTAATAAAACATGTTTGTCGATGTGTATTCCTAGATATTCAGATATGTTCCTAAATTCCCACAGCAATATTATTTTGGAAACTTTTATCTTTCCAATTACATTACAGAGACATTTATCCACATGACCCCTGCCACCCCATAGAGTTTTCTTCATTTTTTTAATTTTCATTTTTAATTCCACCTTCCCCACAAAGGTTGCCTTTCTCATCTTTACACTGCTTTCACTTCCAGTCCATATAGGCTCCATACCAGTGCTTCTAGTATCGCCAATTCTGGGTCCTTAACTTCTGATCACAACCACCCAGACCTTCCTCCTTTCTGAGGATGCTATCAAAGAAAACACACCATCACAGAAAAACCCAAAACACAAAACCCTGTCACTGCAGAACATTTAAGTCCGCTAATTGCAGCCTCATCTTTGGTCTGTTTGAGATGGAGTCAGTAGTGTTGGCTCAACAAGAGGGACTGTGAATGGACTTGTCATGGATGTCACAGAGCCTGGCACATTTCTTCATCAAAACCAATGTTAGCCAAAAAAAGGGGAAATGCAAATGAATGTGGATGAATTAGACTAAGACAAAAATGGATTCTGGTAGACTAAGAAAGTCTCAGTGCCCATTCTGTTACTGACTGCCGGACCAAAGAGGGTTTTTTTAGTACTTACTTTCTTCCTGATCCCACTTCAATTTTTGTGTGCTCTGTTTCACAGTGAAGTCCTTGAAAGCAACCAATGTGGCCCTGGCCATAATCTGCTTAAGGTAATTTATGATGGTACAATACAGCTGACTTAGGGAAGTCAATCATGACACCAGGAAGGTCCCATAAACAGTCTCAGAGCCAAGTTCGTGAACCAGGATTCAAGAGAATTGGATTTGAGCGCTCCTACCCTGCTTCTCAATCCTTAAGAGACCTTGAGGAAATAATTTTATCACCCTATCCAGCAGTACACATCTATAAAAAAGGGACCATAAAAATCCCATCCTTGACAGACCGTTAGCATCAAGCCACCAGACAGAAAAAAGTCCTTGTAACTATGGCAAGGACAGCCACATAGCTAAAGTGAACAGATATCCAGGTGCAAGTCCCTTGCTCTGACACTGACTGTGCTTTTAATGCCACATAAATAATTTCCCTTTTTTTTGTCATGCCATTATCACTGAATGCACAAGTTAAAGTAAAAAGGGGCAGGGGATTGGGGGAAACTCCGATTTCTTTCTCTCTTTAGCCCTGCAAAGGCTGTAGGCGTTCAGCAAAATCCAAAAAAAGGATTGTGGTAATTACCTCACCTGCCTTGCTCCAAAAATTGCCTCTCCACAAAAAACCTCATGCACTGCAGCTGCCCAAACTAAGACAACCCCAGACAATAATCCTGAGTTGTGCATTTTGCTTGATTTTTTTCCCCAGGCTATGCAGATTAAGCAAAACAGACCCCATGAAGAAACCCAGGAGATACAGACAAATGCCTCTGAATACTTACCCTGACACAGCCCCTACTCTGGACCACACAGCAGGGTGGGCTGGTTGTACACAGGTGTTTCCCCACAGCACTCAACACAATTCACCTCCCTGTTACCTTCCTACCTGCTGCAAAATTCCTATTCTTGCTTGGCATCAGGCATTGTGATTTACCAAGCCTGGCAGAGGTTGGACACATCTTAAACTTGGAAATTTCAGGAAAGATTTAGGTACATCTTTTCTTTTCCCCCTTCCTCCCTCACACAACAAGAATCAGCAATTTTGCAGAAGTGATTTGCATTTTCTCAACCCAGTAATTTTTCATATCAAAGAAGTGTACGTGCCAAAACACATGTGAGCCTAGGCATGTAAGAAGCAACAGTAGTCTCCAACTTGCCCTTGAGAAACATCAGGCAGTAATAAGGTATTCATTCATAGGGAGAATGCTGCTCCCAGTCAGTGAACAGCTTCTGACAGGCCAAGATTTGGTCCTGAAGGAACTGTAAGACCCTGGGAGCAAAGGTCAGACCCCCAGAAGTGATAAATCTAGCTCCTCACCTCAGCCACTTGATCAAATGCTACTGTTACCACTTTAAATCAGTTTGTTGACCAGAAGTCCCTACAGGACCACAAGAGTCCCAGAATACAATTTGCTCAACAGGCAAATTTAGAGATAATCTTGTATCCTAAAGACTTTTCCATCAAAGAACAATACTCAGGCCCCAATAGAAAGGGGTGAGCACCCCTAATCTCACTGCTTCATGACTGGATTAGGTCATAGGGATCTTCAGGTTCGGAAGGTGGAGATGAGCTCCCTCAAATCCACCTGCCCCTGCTGAACCTCGTAAGGCCTGGCTGATTCAAAGGCTGCAGTAAGCAGCCACATGATGAAGCCCTGAGCCTTTGCTCTCCATAAAGTCATCACAGTTTATAAATTCTCTGAAATCAACACTGCACCATACAGTGCTTAGCCCTTGTTTGTTCCACAGTGAATAACATAACTCCAGTGTTGGGCAACTTGACTTGCAGAAATCCAAACTGTCTGCTCCTCCCAGCCCAAGGAATGCTCTTGCCTGCTTCTCCATTGTACGGTCTGGATGGCCATGGGTTTGGAAGGAGGACAAAGCAAAGACAAAAGGACAATACAGTGGTTTGAGACAGCAGCCTGGTCTCTCATGTTGCCATATCAGCTCAGCTGGTTATAATCTCCTCCACAAAATGAAGTAACAAGCAAATGACTAATGACTGGAAGATGAGTGTGCCTTACTGAGGCAACACAGCAGGGCAAAGGACCCTTGCCAAGAGCAGTGAGAATCTTATTTCAGTGCTTGCATGAATACAGCTGCCATTTACCTATGTCCCCAGATCCCAGCATGCCTTCAGAAGGCTGCTGCGATGAAAAGGAAAAATCCTGTCCTCTTCTTCCACCAATTACTGCCTCCAGTTCACCTTAGCTGCTCTGAACCCATTTTCCTTTAATGAGCTAGGCCAGCCTGATGCTTGTCCTGCACAGCTGTTCACAAGCACCTATTAGAGATCTCTCAAGCACCCAGAAAAAGCAGCATGAACAGGAACAGCCAGGAAATCCCCAGATGGCCTAAGGGGAGGGAAAAAAAGCTGCATGATGCAACCTTGTGCTGAAGTAAACCTGCCCTAACCAGTTCCCATCCATAGTAGTTTCTTCCCAGGGCAACTTAATTTCTTCCCAAGACAGCTGTTTGTTCATGTGCAGATGTCCAGAGGCAGCTACCTCCTTGCCTTGTCTCCACCACTTATGCCACATCATCAATTATATTTAATGTTATTTCACTCCTGGCTTTGAGCAATAGCAGCTCTTGTTTCAGGTAAGGACACACTTCCCCCCTCTTTGTTTCCCCATCTCAGACCAGGCCTTCACTGTATCTTCTGAGAGCAACATTAACTTGTGACCAACCCTGTTCTTCCTTACATTCTGATGGAAAAAACCAGTAGTTCAAACCCATTCCACCATCAAAATTCCCTGGTGGAACCTCTGGAGACTGCGCTTTCTGTGGCACTTTAGTCTGAACATGAAGGTTGTGTTGTGCTGCATTATCAAGAAACACTTGGAGAAAGGAAACTGGGTTCAAGGAGCTGAGGAAGGAATCAGGAAAGTCCGATAGATGTCAACCTGCCATCGGCAGGGATGTAAGCAACAATTTTCAGGAGGTTGCAAACAATAGGACAGAAAAGGCGTGACAAGCCAGAAAAGGAATAATTGCATTAAAATGGCAAGATTTAGACCAAAATACTCTTGAATTGGGGGAGGATGAGGCCAGTTTTAACATATCTTCTGCCCAAAATGACAATGGACTGGAGGGTTCTCCAGGGAGCAGAACAAGGAGGTTGTATGTTCAGGGGGCTGGCATGGATTAATTATTTCCATCTGGTTTTTCAACATCAAATTTGTAGTATTTTAAGTACAAAAATTATAGCATCTCTGCCAGTTTTCATTAAATGAGTAATAAATAGTTTGAGTGGCTCCAAAGATTATTATACCAGGCATGAGATGACTGAAACATGGGAAATCTCACCACTTACATTTAAAAAAACAGACTGAAAAAAATCACCCATAGGACCTAACTCCCACAGTCAGGCTAGAGAGACTGACAAGTGGCTACACATTTGCCCACCACCAAATCTTGTCCAGCCTAGCATGGAAATACCCAGAGACAGAGTCGGGCTGGAAAACCTACTGGTGCCAGAGAGTATCTGTGTGCCACTGCAGCTGGACAAGGCAGAGGAAGAAAAAGCACTTGGCACATCCTAATGATGGTGCAGGACAAGCCAGTAAGCCCTCAGTGATTGTCTCCCTTCTAAGAGACCTAAAGCCCGAAAGAAACATCAAAGACAAGGTTCCCCCTCCAGCATCCCTTGCTTTATCTCCTCACACTCACTGTAGAGTGGGTGACCTTCATGAGGGGAGCAGACAATGCTCATCCCAGAACAAGATCCAGGGAGGGACAGAATACAGACATCTCTGCAACAGAGCCTCCACAACTCTCATCTCACAGATCCTGAAACAGTGACTAATTAGAAACATCTTTAAATCCCCAGCTGGGGAGGTGCCTGAAAAGAGACAAAACATAAGGATGATGATGATATTTGTAACTGCTGTTACTTGTTATCATCTCAAAATGTTGACAGCAGCTCTTAGCAAGCACGTGAATAGCTTACATGCACTAATTCTCTCTTAAAAAGCATGTGTTTAACCCTCATCAAAGACAGCACTTCTCCATTCTACATGAAACCTCAGGAATTGCCAAAATGATTTAAAGCCCTAGCAAACAAGAGCTCTTGAAAGTGATAATCAACCCCCTCTTGCCCACACATGACTCTCAAGGTCTGTTTCTCATGCTCTACAGTTTCCAGCTGGGACCCATCAGCAAGCTATCAATTGCCCCTTACATACAGATGAACAGGTAATTAGTTAAATGACCTAATTAATATTAATACACTTGAGCGATATAACTAACAAAGCTTGATTTTTTAAAGGAGCTTTATGTATCTTTCCTGAGAGTGTGCTTTTGAGTACATTGCTGGTTCTCTGATATCCAATACTGGCTGAGTTTCGGCTTCAACCCCCTTAGGAGACATGAACAAGGTACAGTCCTACCACCCAGCAACCACGTCCATAAAAGCCATAGGAAACCAGTATCTTAGAGCTCAATCCCTCCACTGAATTTTCCGGTTCAAAAGTTTTCAGGGTAGCCATAGAGACAAAGATAATCCACACGTGCCCACACACAGCCTCTCTTGGAAGAAAGCCAGGCTCAAAATGGGACAGCCAGTGCATTGCTTTAATACAAGAAAGAGAAGTCTTTACTGAGTGCAAGAGCCAAACAAGGACCATGTTTGCACTTAATTGCCCAGATGCCCTCTCAACAGAGTTAATACAGCATGGGACACTGTAGAGGTGTTAAAGGGGAAAAATCTGCACTTTGACTGTCATCAGATGCTCTGGATGCATGAAGTGTGCATTCATATGATGGGGATTAAAAAAAAACAAAGTAAGATTTGGAAGTTATAAGGGGTGGGGGAGAGAAAAAGAACGGGCACAGTGAACTCAGCCTCGTAAAACACATGCATGCACTCGCCTGCACCAAGTGGGGACGTGGAGAGCCCCGGTGCCAGGTCCTGGAGCAGCACAGGGGATCCTGCCCTCCCCATCCCCGGGGCTCAGGCGGTGGCACAAACAAGCAGGGACAGACACGTTGGGGAGCAGCCCACAGGGAAGCACAGTTGCTCACCTCACAAAGCCTGAAGGCAAGGCTTGCTCGGCGCCTGCCTCCAGCTGCTGCACAAGGGGAGCCAGGGGACACGGCCCCTGTGCCCACAGTGCAGCACCCACAGCAGCCCCACACACGGGAATGGCATGTTCTGCTCCGGACACCATCCAGCCTTGGAGGTGTTCCCGCATCTCCATGACTCCAGCACATCACATATGGAGGAAACCCAGGGAGAGGGCTGGATCAAGCAGGATAAATTAAGTTTGAATTCATTTACAGTAATTTTAGGACCCAAATGAAATACAGCAGGCCCAGGGGACCCTTCTGGCTGGCTGGGCTGGCCTCACCACAACTGCAAAATTCAGGGGTACCTTCTGCAGCAAAGAACTCCTTCCAGCTCCTGTGTCTGCCATTAGTAACATTTGCCCCTGTGCCCCACCACCCAGAAGACCGCTGAAGTAGTAACTAATTCAAATATTTCACAAGTTTTCTGCTCTGTTCAGGCTGGGACAGTTTTCAAGGAACATTGTCAAGGCAGATATAGCCCAAAAAATCCCAACCACACACATCACGCCCCCAGCCTGAACCCTTCAAAAAGTGAGAGAGAGGAAAGGAAAAAGCTGTGTCAGGATGGAGGACACAGCATGAAGGGTGCAAGCACAGGCACATCAACAGCTCCTAGGAAAGAGGAGGGGGTTGAAACACAGCCCAGACCTGCTGCTTAGCAGCTGGGATTTAACACTTGTTGCAGCAAGAGAAATTAGTAACAGAAATCAGCACAGAGAAGGATGGGGGTGTCAGGTTCAACGCAGGGCTTCAACAAGGGAGAGCAGCAAAAGTCATCTTTAGGGAAGTGTTGGTTTGGTTTCTTCTATTTTGTTTTATAGTTTTCAGGACTGTATCTTCATACTCTTGATCACAGTCCTAGGAGTTTATACCCTCCCTTAGATCTTATTCCACCATCTTGGTGCATCTCCAAGGCATGAACACCCTGGAAACATGAACAGCAAGTGAATTCTTATTATTTTCTCTGCTGGAGCTCTTAGGGATTTGAAAGAAAATGCTTTTGTTAATGGCAAGAGCTAGCTTTATCAGCTGTCATTCCTACCACTGATCCAAACAGAGTATTTATTGAATGGGAGGAGTAAAATAAAAATCCACACCCAACGAGCATTTGCCTCACTAAACATGCTGGTTCTGCCCAGGCATTAGCCCCTGCACGGCTCCTTCAGCACAAGACCACCCCACTGACCCATTCTCCCCTGGGGAGAGGGGAGGGGGCAACAGGTGACAGCAAGAGACACTTCAGGAGCCACACTCACCATTTTTGCATTTTTGCAGGACAACCCCATCCCCATACTCCTTTGCAGATCCTCTGCAAACACCAGGCTCTGCAGGGAGAGTGGACAGGAGGAGTCTTCCCTGCCATTCCACCTGGTGCACATGCATGAATTCCCTGACCTGAGAGCAGCAGTGGTACAAGGTTGCTCCCTACTTTTATCTCAAACCACAAGCCTTTATCTCTATTTTGTCTCCCCTGTCCAGCTGAGGAAGGGAGCTGCAGAGCAGCTTTAGTGGGCACCTGGCATCCAGCCAGGACCAACCCACCACAGATATGCAGCACACATAGGCTCCTCTTTAAAATTTAACTGGTGCCAGCAGCAGCTCAGGTTCCTGTTGCAGGTGGCAGAGCTCCCTATATCATGATGAGCAGTGAGCACCTCCATCCCACATCTGAAATAGTTTGAGAAAAATGCAACATTAGCTCAGCTACCACCCATCTGAGCAGATACTCATGCAGTGAAGGCTCCTGAGATTTTCCCCAATACCTGTGTACGTCAGTCACACTTCAGGCTGTGACTGCAGAGATCACACAGTCCTATTCTTCCAAGATTTCTTCCTGCAAGGAATGTGAACCACTTGGCTTTCCCACACAGATGAAGGAAGGAAAGCCAAGACACCAAGCAACCGCAGGCTCTCAGAAAAGAATTCATGATGAAAAATGATGGCTTTTCCTCTCAAAAAGTGCGACCTTAAACTGGGAAGAATTTGGGAAGAACCTCGCTGTGCACTGCAGCCCCTCACTCCATGGAGTGCACCTACACATTAGAACTCTTGCTAAAGCATATCAAGTCAATGAAGACACTCAGCAGGAGCCTAGTTGGGCTGGTGGACAAAAGGGAGGAGGCAGGGAAAAACTGTGACAAATTGAAAATTCATTGTGGATTGCGTAACTGCATGAATAATTCCTTTCAAGCCATAAGAGATTCCTGCAAAAGAGGTAGCTTGCTGCAGTCCCTCAGCTCCGTTTAATGAAAGAACTCACAGACGGGTGGTTTGGGTATTTGGGGGTTTTTTGGTGGGGTTTTCTGGTTTGTTTTAAAAAAAAAAAAAAAAAAAAAAAAAAAGCTCAATTGCAAGATGCAGCTGATCTTCTATCAGCAGAGAAGAGCTCGTGGAACCAACCAAACAGGTGACACTGATAGATTTCCCTACCCTGGTAGAACAAGAATTTGCTCAAAATGTCTCTTTTACTAGAGACAATTTTTCATTCATGAAAACAACAGAAGAGATGCTCATTGGGGGGGAAGGAAGATATGAAAAATATTTTCTCTAAGCCACTGAGACTTATGAAAGCATCAGGAAAGAGGAATTGGTGAAAAGAAGAAAGGGACTGGAAAAAGTCCCAATGGTAAGATATACTTAAACTACTGAGTGTCATGCCCAGAAGCAGGGAAACCCCATGTATAAAACTATATCTCAAATATATATATATAAAACTATATATCAAATTTGGAACCACTTAGCTCACGAAGGGTCCCATCCCCTGCATCTCCCAACTGCCAAGGAAGGGTTAGGCTTTTTCTATATGCCAAATTTAATTCTGCAATAATCTCTTCTGGTCCTTCCTGTAACAAGAAATAGGACAAGACAAAATACCGTTAAGCGGTAGCAAGGGAGATTTAGATTGGATATCAGGAAAAATTTCTTCATGGAAAGGGTTACCAAACATTGGAACAGACTGCCCAGGGAAGTGGTAGCACCGCCACTGAAGGTATTTAAAAGATATGGTGCTTAGAGACATGGTTTAGTGGTGAACTTGGCAGTGCTGGGTTTACAGTTGCACTCAATGATCTCAAGGGCCTTTTCCAACCTAAATGATTCCATGATTTTGGGGCAGAAAGTGCACCATTTCCCAAAGACAGACAGGCATCTCAGAAGCAAAGAGTAGCATCTTGACCTTTAAGCACACACACAGATGTCCTGATATCTAATATTGTAGTTGAACCCATGCTGCAGCTTTCCTCTCCAAATAGACACTAACAGGGCCTTTCCTCCTTTATGTGGTCAGTGATTTTTACCAACCTTTGAAAATTAAAATCATTGGTCAGACCTCTGCACCACCCCACCAGCAGGGAGTTGGTCAATGGATCCAAAAACTAGTGGGAAAGAGAAAACCTTTATAGAAAACCGACTAAAATTCATTCTGTCCTGTGGGATCTTTAGGAGCCAAGCTCACTGGCTTTGGAGCTCCCTTCTTGAATTCCACATATTTTACACTATTTGCCTAAAACCAGATCCCCAACTCTCTGCCAAGCCCTCCTAATCCATCAGCTTTGAGGCCAGGACTGCAGCCCACTCCACAAGTTCCTCCTTTCTTCTGTGCAGCCCCAGCTTCTCCTCCTCTTCCCTGAACACCACTCCCACAACTGCTCATTACCCATTTTTCTACTTCACCTCAGTTCCCCTCTTCTTGCTTCCCACACGAACATCATGAGCTCTAACTCC